AGCCCCGGGCGGGGCCCTGGCCCCGCTGAGCTCGCCGGGTGCGTGGCCAGTGACTGGCACCCGTCAGTGACCATGTCAAGCTCGCCTGGTGCACGGCTGGTGACCGGCACCCATCAGTGGCCCTGCTGAGCTCGCCTGGCGCACGGCTGGCAACCAACACCCATCGGTGGCCATGCCGAGCTCGCCTGGTGCGTGGCCGGTGACCAGCACCTGTTGGTGGCCATGCGATGCTGAGCTCTCCCTCTCCCCGCAGCACTGAAGGTGCAGCTGAACACCAGGCTCTTCGGTCAGCATGTGGCCAAGGATGTGGTGCTGAAGGCGGTGATGGGCTTCAGCAGCAACCCCAGCCCCAAGAAGCCGCTGACGCTCTCGCTCCATGGCTGGGCCGGCACCGGCAAGAATTTCCTCAGCCAGATCCTGGCGGAGAACGTCCACCCTGCCGGCCTGCGCAGCAAGTTCGTCCATCTCTTCCTGGCCACCCTGCACTTCCCCCACCACGACAAAGTCAAGATGTACAAGGTGAGGAGGGACATGAGGTAATCCAGTTACCCCGGCTCCCTAAACCCCCTAGTACGGGGGTTTGGCTGTTTGTGCTGCGCAGATCCCCCAGGTACCCGACACCTGGAGGTGCGCAGCTGGGTATTTCCAAAGTTGGCGCTCAGGAGAGATGGAGGGGGAAACACATTGAGGAAGTGCCTTTCTCAGGCGCCAAAATGCCAAGGAATCGAAAGTGAGAGTGATTTTCTAGTGCTGGCCTCTCACTGATGCCATCTGCTGATTCCTGCGGTGCTTGCTGTTAGGGAAGAAGCCCGTCATTAAAACTGCGCTAAAAGGTTGGCTTGGATGGAGGTGACTTTCTCCATCGCAGCACCTGCGGTGCCGTGTTTTGCATTTGTGGCTAAAACAGTGTTGATAACATGCCAGTGTTTTGTCTCTTACTGAACAGTGCTCGCACGGCCTCACAACTTGCTTCCCCCCCGGCTTAGCGAGCAGGCTCGGCTGGGCGAGGGATTGGGAGGGGACAGCTGACCCCAGTCGGCCACAGGGATATTCCGTACCATAAGCTGTCATGCTCAGCAATAAAAACTGGGGTAGAAGAAGGAAAAAATGGGGGATGTTGGTTTCCAAGGTGGTTGTTGCTCTGACACTGGCTGGGCATTGGTCTGCATTTGTCAGGGGGATGAGTGATTCCCTTTGCTTACATTTTTCCTCTTTCCATCACCTGTCAAACTGTCTTTACCTTGACCCATTAATTTTCTCACTTTTATTCTTTGTCCTCTCTCCCCCATCCTGCTGGGGTGCTGGGCTGCTGGCCGGGTCAGCCCACCACACACTGTGTAATAAGAAAGTGTAGCCTGCATGAGAGATTTTTCAAGTGACTTCATTCCTTGACACTGCGGAATTCTGATCTTCATGTTTTCATGTTTGAAGGTACCCAAAACTGATGCTCTGATAGATGTGGTTTCTGTATAAAAGAGGAAACAGCGCTTTGGTTTTTTTTTTAA